TGTGTGCATGTGTTACTCTTTACTATAAGTTCATTTCAGAAAGTGGTCTCTGTGAACTAAAAATGATTTTTTTTCATTTAAACATGATGGAAAAATCTGTTTGTTTGCTTTTTCAAATTCAAGACTATTTAAAACCTTTTCTTTCAAAACAGAAAACTGCTTTATCATCATTTCCCTTAAACCACTTTTGAATCGATGAAAAACATCTGATGAAAAACATTTAGTTAAAAAGTGTCTGACCAGCTCTACTTAGAATATGCTGTAATCAAACTAGAACAGGTTAGGTTTGTGTTAAACAGTTCTCTAAAGTAAAATTCAGCTATTTTCCTTTCTTTCCCCTCTACCCTAATCTGTGCTGCAGTGGTCAGTTTTTCCATGGCAGACAGCAAGGAAAGAAGGAGCCTTGCATATCTTTTGGATGGTGTGGAAAAGGCCCACAGAACTGAAGTTCAACTTTACACATCAGGGCACTTAAACCTTGACAAGCTTTATAAGCCCCAAAGGAAATTAAAACAAGGCTACTGGGACAGTGCCAGGAAGACAACACATGTTGTGACTAAAAAAAATCTATTGCCAGCGCAAAGTGAAACAGCCAGGAAGATAAAACACACTTCAGCTGAAGTCTCCTCCAGCGCCACACTGGTTTCAGCATGGTCCAAATCTGCCTCTCCTACTTATAGATGCCCTCAGCCCCGCCTGGGCAGTGTCCCAGTAAATACCTCATTAGTTTCCAGTCCACTGGAAATGCATTCGAAAGATATCAAAAACAAAATACAGGACGGAACTAACAGACTCCGTCTGCCACTTAAAAAAGAAGAGTTAGATGTACCAGAGATGAAGGTGCTGAAACACAGGCCAGTTAAGAACAGCCGACAATGTTTTGCTGAAGTTGCCAAGGACAAATACCAGTTTATGCCTTCATACCTGGCGGGTCTGACTAGAACCGATCAGTTTAACAAGTTTCTATGCTTCCAGAGGGATATTATTGGAAAGCATGATCTGCTAGAGAATGACTTCACCGGGAGCAAAGCGTCAGAGCAGCATGAAAGGAAGTTGGCTAAGGTAAGGAAAAGTGTCTCAATTACTCAATTACCAGAGCAGTGAGGAAAAAGTCCCCAATGTGAGTGATGACAAATCACATTATTGTGATGAGAGAGCCATAGTTTATCTCCAGGGAGGGAAATTAAGATATTCAATTAATAGAAATTAAAGTTGGAAAGGACCTCTTGGTTCTTACTCGGGCAACCAACTAGAATTGTTTCTCAGTGCTAATGGCTAGTTAATACTGCTCTGGCAGGGAAATATGTGGCAATTGGCATGTGAGAGAGTCATTTTTCCAGGGAGCTGGGTCCCTTGATCCTTGCCATGATGGGCAAGGAGAACAAATGTGTTGTTGGCCATGAAGCCACCATAGGTTAATGGCCTGGAAGTATCTATCTATTTGACCATGAATGACATGGGATCTTTCTTTGGAGCCTTGCGTGTTGGCTGAGAGTGGTATTGCTCTTCAGTTCATGCTGTTGTGTCTAAGATTAGTGGCTAACAAATTGATTGCTTTCTATGATTTGCTCTGGGCTATAGCTGTGGAACGTGTGCACAGGATGACTGCAGCTGTGCACTGTAACTCATCTGGAAGAGGAAGAACGTTTGGATGGTGATAGGGCCCCTGGCTTGCATCCAGCCTTCAATGCAGGTTGTCCCTCTCTCCAAAACAGGCTTTGATTAAACATGTCCCATTTCTGCACACATCTGAGAATGAAGCACAGATTCTCTGCTGCAGTACAGAATTTTGTTTGCTCTCTCTTAGACCAAGACAGCTACCAATACATTCCTGTTTGCTCTGTTGCACACAAGTCTGCCAACACTAATTACTGTATTCTTGGGTAAGAGGTTTCAGAGGTCTCTAAGGATTAAAGTCCCCTACTGATAGAGTACTCTAGTGATGGTTCAGTGGGACTTCATACTGCTTAGTTGTTTCTGACCATGGATGCATTGACTCTGAGTTGCTTTTTCCTCCAGTTTTATCCACATGGGTCACCAGGCTGAGGTAAGAGAGCAGTATGGAAAGGAATGAATACTAGCTTTCTAGTAGCTGCCTGATTATAGATAGGCCTGACATTAAGATGTCTAGAAATAGTATTGATGCCTTATTCTGAATGCCAACCTTGCCTGGAACTCTATTATATCAGTTGTATTAAAAAGAACTTTCACTGGCAGGAAAAGGTGGTCACATTGTCAACAGAATAAGTCAGAGACATTACATCATTGTGAATTGGGCACAGCTGTGACTGAAAGAGGTTTGTCATCATTTGAAATGAAGGGCTTACAGGCTATTCATAGTATAAAGGCAATAATAACTCTTCCCATGGCAATAAAACCACAATTCATCCGTTAAAATACATTTTGCATTAAAAATGCTAATATTTCTCTCTGCTTTACCTGTGGTAGATTAGAGCATTATTAGTATCTTTGAGCAAGCTGTGTAACAAAGTTGTTTGTGGAGTTTTAGGAATAAGTTAGCCAAGCACTTGCATGGGATGATTTGGACTGGGATGATCCTTCCAGACCTACTTTTCTATGTACAATTCTATGACAAATGTAAAAAAACCCCGAAAAACCAAAACCAAAAAACCAACAAGAAACAAAAAACGAGTCCCAGAACAAAGTCAGTTATTTTTTGCACCTTTATTTTTTCAGAAACCTTGCTTTAGCTGTACTGAAGTGTATGCTAGCCAGCTGTACAAGCAAACTTTGGTCTTTGATCACATCTGATTTTTTTTCCTTTAAAACTTTATTTATGAGGTGTAAATGTATCATGTTATCATCTGAATATGGATAAGAAGAAATAAGATACAATTAAGGGGGGAGAATGGAGTAGATGACCTGCTAGATCTTTTTCCAACCCTAACATGTAAGATTTGGAGGAGCTATCCATGTCAACAGTCACAAAATATATACTTATAAAGGTTATATTCCTTGGCAATGACTAGCTTATTTTTCCTACTCCCCAGGCTACCTATTTTCTGTAAGGAATGAAATGAGGGATTCTTAGGGCTAGATTCTCAGAACCTGTGAATTGGTTAGATTTGTTGAAGTCATGTAGATGTTTAGGTGGATCAATGGTGATGAAGATGCACCTCCTTTACCACTGGTTCTCTGACAAGACCCCCATTCTTATCTGTCAGATGCATGAGCAGTGAGCTCTCTGCTGCTGCTGCACCCCACTTTCTGGCTGTCTGGGATCCACTACTAGTTAGAGGTATATAGACTTAGCCCAGCATCTGGCCTCAACCTCTATGCATCATACTTTGAAATGTAATAATATGCAAAGGCCTAATGTGCTAGCTTCACTCTGCAGCACTTCCTAAGTTTCCTTTTTAATTTTTCTTTAGCTATCATGATAACACACGTTTTAACTGAGCCTCTGACTGTTGAGCAGGGTTGGGTTCTCTAGGGTATTTTTCACCCTCTGAGCCATACTGTGGGTGTGTCTACATGTGCATTTACGTTGCATTAAATTGCTGCATAGTAAGTTACTGCGTGGTAAGCAGTTTTCTGGGCTGGTGTCTTCGCTTGCAGTTGTTAAAGTGCAGTAATGCTGTGTGTGGACTGACATGGGACTAGCGTCAGTCCCAAGTCAGTCCATATACACAGTGTTACTGTGCAGTAAGACATCTACATGTGCATTACTGTGCAGTAACTAATTGGGTATAAATTTGATACCTCCATGATGCAGGTGTCAAACTTACACCCAAGTTGCCATAAGTTGTCATATTCACTGTGCACTATGGGCATGCATGTGTAGAGGTGTTCCTGTACTGCACAGTAATTTTGGTTCCTGTGCAGCAAACATGCACATGTAGACATGCACTGTGAGTACTTTTGTGGACTGATATCACTGTTTTTGACCTGTGCCATCTAGAACCAAGTGGCAACTACATCCAGGGGTGGACCTGTATAGCTGTACAAGATGATAGCTCTGGTTCCTTGCTGCCCCCAAATGCCCAAGTCCTCTGTGGATCCTAGGCAGCTGTGGCACAGCAGCTGTGCCCCCATATGTCCCATATGGGCAAGGAGAAGGCACAGGAAGGGGGAGCCCATCTACTGCTGCCACTGTCCCCAGCTGACTCTCTGAACCTGACACCTTGCGCATCTGCTGCTTGCAGCCCTTGGCTGGAGTGGGGCAGGAGCAGCTCTGAGGCTCTGGTCACCCCTGGGTCAGGTAGCGGCAGTAGGTGGGTGCCCTGCTAGAGAGGGGAGGGGAGGTGCTACTGAGTGCTGGAGGGCGGGGGTGCTTTGAGCAGGAGGAATTCATACCTGCTTCAGGGACTCCAAAAAGTCCCAGGCTGCTGGTCTATTCATTGTGGAGGGATTGCGGACGGGGGGAGGGGGAGGCAGGGAAAGGCAGCTCTGGGAGCAGGTTCACAGCCACCCGTATAGCATAAATTACAGTCCCTGCACCCCTTCTTTTCAAAATCCTAGATTGCCTATGACAACATCCAACATATGTATGTTGTAGTTCTCAATCCTGGTTTTCCTATAGGATCTCCAGCAAATCTGTGATTGCGATTGGCCCCATTTCAAATACCTGAAAGTCTTCAGGGATGTGTTTGAGGATATTTGCAACAGCTCTTTGATATTTGGTGATATTTTGAAGGAAGTTAAGGTAAGAGACCTCTTGGGGGTTATCACAGCATGATTTGAAGATTCCCTAACCTGCTATTTTACACATGTACTAGTGCTACATCTTATGCACTCCAAATTTCACCAGATTAACTCACATAGCTTTATGCAATCAGTTTGCCTATCGCTTTCTGGATTACCAAGAATGAAGTGATGCTTAAGGGAAACAATTTTCTTCAGGAATGTCCCCTTCTTGACTTCAGTCCACATATTAAACACACCTGTGTTATGCCTTCCTCTGCTCCCAACAACCCCAAAGAAGTTATTGTTTTGCATAAGAACATAAGTTCCCTGTGCTGTGTCAGCGTTGATGGTAGTCTTATATTGAGTTTGGATTATGGTTTGGACTGGGGTGATCCTGCCTTCAGGCAGGGGGTTGGACTAGATGACCTCTGGAGATCTCTTCCAGCCCGACTTCTCTATGATTGTCTCTGAAGTACCATACTGGGTCAGACCAGTGGTTCATCTAGCCCAGTATCCTCTTTCTAGCAGCAACAATAATAGATGATTTAGAGCAGGGCTGTCCAACTTCTAAGGGGCTGAATGTCCTGTAGGCCATACAAGTATGAGCCACAGGCCCCAAAGATGCAAACTGGGTATGTCCCCCTCCCTGCCTTACACTGCACATCCCAGATGCCCCCAACATTTAACTGCTTTTTTCAGCAGGGGCCTGCATGATTGTTGCCTCATTTATTTTCTCTCCAGCCTCTTCCTTTCCATATTGTCAGTGGTGTGAAAACACAGTTTGCCAGTTCACCTACTTGCCTAACAACCCGAGGGGACAAAAGCCTATTTTGCTGTCTTACCATCTCCAACTGTTGCTGTGTACATGGGGAGAGAGCTCACAGAAGGTGCTCCACTGGGGAGGGCAGCCTTCTTGCAGACATCATATGAGTTGGAGATAGGGACTTGAAAATTTATGGCAGTTAACTAGGATGGCCTAGGATGATTTGACAATGCGTGTGGACATACCACCTGTTTATTTCTGAGAAACAGCAGAGCAAACATGACATACAGCATTTACTCTGAAGGAAATGCTGTTCACTGGTGTAAAGTTACTTCTGAGAAACTCAGACATAAAGTTATTTTAGAGGAAGTCAATCTGGTGTATGTATTGTGTCCTCTGCTGTACCAGTTTCACCCCAGAGAAGCCATTTGCTCAATGGAAATGGGCTCTTTTGCCACCTACAGGCCAGGTACATGGCCTCTTATGGATAGCTAGCTTAGGAGAGCTTAGTAAATTTGCTGTGGAGGATAAATTTCTCTGGGGTAAACATGTTGTATGTCTGTACCCAGTATCTCCAGCTTTAATAGGTATAAAACACCTGCCAGTAAGAGGGACTAAAAATTCAGAGTTTCTTGACATCTTTAACTCTGATTGTCCTAGTTCCACATGCAATATACATTTTTTCTTATAATGTTTTTAATACTTCCAATTCATCTTCATTAGATTGCCACTTTCCAGTCCTTTATACATGTCCTTTCTTTTTTTCATACTGGTTGCTGCAGAACAGTTTGTCACTGATATTGAAGGGGTATCATGTATATGTCCTCCATTTTCCCCCTTTTACCTGCCTTCAAGCAGAACTGCCAGTCCCAAAGCTGTGATTTATTTTTTTCCAGATTGTTACTGCTGATTCTGCTGGTGACATCACAAACCTATCCAAGTTGTCCAATGTTTCCATCAGGATTTTATGCAGTTTATACTATTGTAACAGTGCCTCTAAACCAGGAGTGGCCACCCTACCACAAGTGGCATGGACAGCCTCTGCGTATGTCACAAAACAGATTGGGGGGTGGGGAGGGCAGGCAGCACAGTAGGCAGATAGGGCAGGGAGCATAAGACAGAGCAGCAGATTGAGCAGGGAGCACAGGGCAGGAAGCAGAAAAAAGAGCAGCAGATCAGACCAGGAGCACAGGGCAGGAAGCAGAAAACAGA